CACATCCCTCATGAGTCCTCTTCAACATATAGCAATGGTGTCATTGTTGGTGATGTGCACAGTTTGAAATGGTCTGAATGACACTCACAGCATGAGCATTTCTTGAGTGTTCTCGTCCAGCCCAACTCTGTACTGTGTGGCTCTCCATCCCTGTTCAGCAGCCAAGCATCCTTATGAGCAGAGGTTCCCTGGTGCATCTCCTCACTGCCTTGAAGCCTGGAGGCGGCGATCTTAGTGAGACAGACTCGAGAGCACATATTCACGAGAGAGTAAATCCCAAAGGTTTCAGAGAACTTGGTCATAAATATGATAACAAGAAGGCAAAGTATTTATATTCAAACACTTTAGTAGCTTTCAGTTTTGTGAAAATAGTTTTCAGCACAAAAACTGACTTCTTTAGATAAAGTTTTAACCAATGATGGTGTTTGATTCTAGGATCTATACTCTAAAAGAAATCACTATGAAGTGCTGGTCATTGATGGTCTTTAGTAAATAAGAGCTGAACCTGTACTCTAATAAAATGGAAAACACAGAAGAAATGGACAGATTCCTAGATACATATGAATTGCCAAAATTAAATGAAGAAGATATAGAAATTCTATACACCCCAATAACAATGAGTGACTACTGAATTCTACAAGACATTTAAAGAAGAACTATCGCCATTACTCTTTAAACTCATCAAGGAAATTGAAAGGGAAGCAAGGCTTCCAAATTCATTCCTGGAAGCAAGTGTTACTTTGATTTCAAAACCAGGGAAAGACCCAACCCAAAAAGAGAACTACAGACCAATCTTCCTAATGAACATAGATTCAAAAATCCTCAACAAGATACTGGCAAACAGAATACAGAGTGTCATCGAGAAGATCATACACCCTGACCAAGTCGGATTTATCCCAGAGATGCAAGGATGGTTCAATATCCATAAACCAATAAATGTAATACACTATATTAACAGAGTCAAGGACAAAAGGCACACGATCATCTCAATAGATGCAGAAAAAGCATTTGACAAAATCCAACACCCATTCATGATAAAAACACTACAGAAAATTGGAATAGGAGGTCTTTATCTCAACCTGATTAGGGCTACCTATGAAAAACCAATAGCCAACATCGTACTAAATGGTCAAAAACTGAAAACTTTCACGCTAAAATCAGGAAGAAGACAAGGATGCCCACTATCACCACTCCTGTTCAATATTGTTTTGGAAACATTAGCCATACCAATTAGACAAGAGAAAGAAATAAAAGAAATAAAGATAGGAAAGGAAGAAGTTAAACTGTCATTATTTGCTGATGATATGATACTTTACATAGAAGACTCAAAAAACTCAGTCAAATGTCTTCTAGACCTGATTGACAGATTCAGTAGAGTAGCTGGATACAAGGTCAACATGTGACACCTAATTTCTTTTAACCACAATGAACTGTCCTTCTTATCAACAGCAAAGCACTCCAGGAGGCAACTGTGGCATTGCTTCTTAACCAGCTCATGGTGTGTGAATGTTATAAAATTGTCACTCAGATATATTTTTAAATGTAATGTTCTATAAGATCATCATGTGATGTGTACAAACTATGGTGAAAAGTACCAGTGGTAGTAACTGTGTAAAGTCTCTAATTCATAACATTATTAATTCCTTTAAAATACACAGACTTCTGCCTCTGTATTTGGAGTTGTCCATACAATTCATCAAAGAAAACTGCCTAATATAAAAATCATATATATGATAATAATTTCCCTCTTTTGTAGTCTGAACAAGATCCATAAAAGATTGTATTTTAATTACTATTTAAACAAGTGATTAAATTTAGTCTGCACAGCGAGCAAGAGTTCACATGCATTCTTTTATACTGCTGGATTTTGTTGTGCATCATTTAAAACATTTTGTATGTTTCTTCTTATCTGTGTATACAGTATGTTCTTGAATAATGCTCCTTTGTCAGGAGAACTGTGAGAAATAATCTATGTGGATACTGTCTGTTTATATTATGAAAAAGGGAAATTATTTCTACACTGGACAGTCATTTAAAAATGCAATGTTCTATTTCAGATTTAAGCATTCAGAATATAGAGAAACCAATACATAATCAATATTACTTTATAAATATAAAATCACTCATGTATACATAGAGGTACATACAAAGATGCATGAATGAGAGAAAAATAAAGAAAAAGACAAAGATTTATTGAGAGAGCTCTTTAAATCAGCATTATACCTAAAGTGAAAGGCAGAAGCATTTCCCTTAAAGTCAAATACAAAACAAAGATACCATTATCATCACTATAATCAGGAGAATAAAAAATAAGTATAAAGACTGAAAGAAAGAAATATATTTGAGGTACATATATAGTAATACAAAACAAAAATTCTAAGACATACCTAAAAAATCATAGCGAGTAAGAAGATCCAGCAAGTTGCCTGGTTACATTATTCAAATATAAACTTAAAGCATCTCTTTATGTATGCATCAAAGCCTTACAAAGTAGAGTAAAAGAAAAAAATGATATTGAATATTTTTCAAGATTAATAAAAAAACCCCACCACAGTGCAGAGTGCTATAGGATGCTACTCTGTTTAAAAATTCATAAATCCTATCTTATATATATATCGATATAATTTATTGCAAGAACACACACAAAAAGTTTAATATAGGTGATCTATTATAGCACTTGCAGCATCTTCCCAAGATATACCTGTTCTACTGCAAAAGAAAAGTTCTTGGAGTTGATTATTCTCCAAGTCCTTGCGATTGGCCATGTTAGCATCACTGGTGCTCTTGTTAGAAATGCCCTCCAAATGTTACCCTAGAAATACTATTTGAATCTTTGCAAATCTACTTGGTTATTAACATCAAACACTTCTCTAAGTAATCAATTCATATTTGTTTGGCTGAGTCAGAAAGGAGCTTTATGAGAGAATCTGAAAGAAAACAATCCTTTTATGATTTAATATATATCAAAGAAAACTCAGAGTCATCAGCAGAGAATGTTAAAAAATAAAAAAGGAAAAGAGAAATTGGGAGAACCAAGCTCCCTCTTTATGTATTTCAAATAACTACTTTATTTTCTTGCCAGTAGACAGATATTTCATCTTTTGTATTTATGCTTTGAAAAGGAATAAGACATTTTAGAAGAACTACTTTATTTATTTAGAGAAGTCTTTTCTAGAGAGAATTTTGTCACCCATTAATTGAACCACTGTAAAATAGAGCAAGCATATTCTATTTTCCATTGTTTTGAAATATCCAGAATCATGAATTTCAATTATGTATTTACAAAGTGAAAAGTAAATTCTTATTTTAGCCATGCCAGTAATCTGTATAACCATATAGAGATGGCAAACAATTATCATGTTGATCAGGGAAGAAAAGTGATTTTCCTTCTATGAGTAAGGATGTCTTTGATTTCAAACTATAAACTACATTTCTATTTCCTCCCAGAAACAAGTTTGAAATAGGTATGCTTTTGAGATTTGATATTTTTCAGAATTAGTCAATGAGAAATACACAAAAGAATCATGTATTGTTAAATCTTTTTTAGGACATGAAGATAGGTTCGTTAAAATATGGGCTAGTTAAATGCAAGACACAGAAAAATAATAAATTATCACAAAGAACTGACTTGGAGAATTTTTAAAGAGCATGAACAGTCTGGCAGTCACAATTCCTTGATGATAAAGTAAAAGCCTAATGGGGAACAAGAAGATATGAAAGAGACAACATAAAAAAATATGATAGATTGTCTAAAACTCTACTTGACCTCGTTGTAAACTCTAATTCTAATCCCAGCAGGCCTGACAGATTCTTCCATAGACGATAAAAAAACAATTAGTAGGTTGTGCAAATAAAACTTAAGAATTACCAAGACCTTTTCCATGAATGAAGTATATTCAGCAATATCATGCATTGTATACAAAATGCATACAAATTATTTGTAGAAGATACATCATAAAGAAATGAAACCTAAAATAGCTGAAACATACCTGAAAAAAAATTGAAGAACTCACATTTCCTGATTTCAAAACGTACTATAACACTGCAGTAGTCAAAACTGTGTGACACTGACAATAGTGTGATAGACATATAGGTAAATGGAGTAGAATAAAGAGTCCATAAAGAATCCCATACATATAAGGTCAATTGATTTTGACAAAAGTGCTGAAACGATTCAATGTGGGAATAATAGTCCTTTCATTAAAAGTACAGGAATAACTATATTTTTTGTCTGCAAAAAAATAAAGTTGGAGCCAGGCGTGGTGGCTCATGCTTGTGATCAATCCCATACTCTTGAAAGCAAGGCAAGAAGATTGCAAGTTTAAGATTAGCCTGGGCAATTTAGTTACTTAGCAAGACCTTTCTCAAAAAATAAAAAACATGGGTTGGGAAGGTAGCTCATTGGGAAGGCTCTGGGTTCAATCCTTAGTATAATAAGAGAAGAGAAGAGAAGACAATTGGAAGGGAAGGGGAGGGGAGGGGACAGAAGAGGAGAGGACGGGAGAAGAGGGAAGGGAAGGGAATTAGAAAATTTGATTTCTTCCTCCTATATCTGCGTGCGCACACATGCCACATACATAATTAACTCAAAATGGAGTATAGACTTAAACTGTAGGTGCTAAAACTATATAGTTCATGTAAGAAAGTAGAGTAAATCTTTGAATTTTGAGTTAGGCAAAACTTTCATAAATATGACATTAATAGCATAAGCAACAAGAATAAATAGATAAGTTCACTTGATATGAATCTAAAACTTTGTGCTATCAATGTTATCAAGAAAGTAAAATGATTATGTGCAGAATGCTGAGAAAAAATTCATATTTGTAAAACATGTATCTGATTTTTTATCTACACTTGTCTCTAGAATATATAAAGACCTCAGAACTCTATAGTAAAAAAGTCATCCAACTAAAAGGTCAATAAGCAAATGAAAAGATGCTCAACATCATTTCTCATTAGGGAAATATGACTCAAAATTACAATGATATACAACTTCTTACCTAAGAGATTGGTTATAAACAAAAAGATGTCCAATAACAAGTGTTGACAATAAGTTGAAACTCTGACATATTGCTAATGTGGATGCAGAATATTGTAGCCACTTTGGAAAACAGTCTGGCAGCACTGTAAAGGATTAAATATAGCATTAACATGTGACCCAACAATCCCACTACTAACTAATACACACAAAATAAATAAAAGCAAAACTCATAAATTTATGCAGAACTGGTCCACAGTAGCTTTTGGTTTAATAGCCAAAATACTAAAATAACCCATGTGTCCATCAATTGATGAATGGACCAATAAAATGTCGTATATTAGTCGACACAATGGCATGTTTTAGCATAAAAAAATGAACCAAGGGCTGATACATGTAGCAACATTGATGGACCTTGAAAACATTTTGCTAAATGAAAAAGCCAGTCAAGAAAGATCACATATTCTATGTTTCCATTTTTAGTGAAATGTCCAGAATAGGCAAATTCATGTAGAGACATAGTAATGATTGCCTAGGTCTGAAGGTGTTAAGGGCAAATGGGGAATGACTGCTCTGTGTTCTGGAATATCTTTTCAAGGCAATAAAAATGTCCTAAAATTAGTTGTGGAGACAGCACAACTCTGTGAATATCCTGAAAACTACTGAATTATATATTTTAAATGTGTAAGCTATATGGTATTTGAATGATATAACACTGAAGTTGTTAAAATGACTAGAAGAACCTATGTGTAACTCTTTTATGTTTGTTCTATACGAAATTTAAAGAAAAAATGATATTTTGTAGACAAGGAGAAAACAGTCAGATTCTCCAAACTTGAAGCTGTCAAAACTTTTAAATGTGCTACAAAAGTAAAACAAAAACACATATATGATCAATATATTCGCTGTGAAATACCCTTATCTAATATAATTTAATTTTCAAATATTTATATGCTCTTTTTAAAATGCAGGAGAATTGAACCAATATTTGGAAATATTTTAAACTTTTTAACAAGATATTATCATATAAAACTTCCACAATATATAACCTCAAATAACTGCTTAAGAAAATAATCTTTGAAAAGTGTTTCTATTATGATAATTACTAGTAAAATGGGAATTTCTATTTTATTGAGTTAGTGGAATAGTATTTACATGATAAAAACTCTATAGCCAATTCCTCTGAGACTACATTTCTGAATTTTAAGAAATAAGATAAGAAATGTGACATCTTATGACATTAACGAATTTGAGTATCAAGTAAAAATATATTATTACAGAAATGTGTTAGTCACTGATACTGTAGTGTCAAAAGGGGAATTTTACTCTTAACTGAAAGGAATCCATATTTCAAAGATAATTTTAGCTAAATGTTAAATAAAAATGGGAATAAATATACTGCAAAATCAAATGATTTGCAGTTGTTTAAATAATCACTGCCAGATTCAGGGTTGATTCTTAGTTCCTGTTGGCCTTGGTACAAATCTGTGAGATTATTATTGAGCCTGATTCTATACAGCTCAAATTATCTGCCTCAGTCAGAGAAAAGGACAATGAAAATAGAAGCCCACTGGGGCTTTAGCTCCTCACTGGAAATCTAGGGATATGTACTCAAAATACCAAGAAGCATGATCAACTGCACATCCAGGGGTGAAAAATAAATCTAGACAATTTGAAAGACTTTGTGTTTTGAATTATTCCAAATCCATGACATTCTAAATGCAAAACAGCAGAGGCAATGAAAAGTTCAATGGCTGCCTTGTGCTGGGGAGATGGAGAGTGAATAGAAAGACAACACCAGATTTTTAAAGGCGTGAGGCTACCTGGTGTAATACTATAATGGTGGATATGTATAATCATTATACATTTCTCTAAACCACTGCAATATACACCACAAGGAGTAGTGATGTCAGCATGGGCTTATCGATTACAACACATGTCCCACTTGGGCGGAAGAAACTGCTAAGGAGAATATGTCTGTGTGTGTTGGGATTTATATTATTAAATGGGAAGTCTGTATCTTCTGCCCAATTTTGCTGTGAAGCTAAAACTGCGCTAAAAAATGAAGTCTACTGAAATAGTATTTTAAAAAGAGATTAGAGCTTTTTAGGCTTAAAAAAAAAAACTGACAAGGAATGCAGAAGCTAGAAAAGACAAGAAAACTGGTTTTCCCTTTCCACTGAGAGGAAGCCTGACATTTGTTTCAGTGTACTAAAATCCAATTTCAACTTCTGATCCTCAGAACTTTAAGAGAATAAATTTGTGTTGTTTTAAGCTACCACATGGGTACTAATTTGTTACTGCAGTAACAGGATATTAACACAGATAGCATATGATAGTACTGTTTTATATATTCCCCATTTCCACTCCCTACCCTAAAGGCATAGTTATTTATGATAAAATTTGTTTGTGTTTTTTTTTCATTCTATTCCCAGGATCTAGCATAGTTCTTAGCATTTGGTAAATATTTTTCTCATCAATCAATAAATAAGAGACTTTCCTAGATTTACCTGTAGCTGTTCATTGTGGGTTTATTTTTCTCTCATATATAAGTTTTTCAAGGCCTCATAGCTTGGAACTTCCAGGCTTTCCACTGATAGACAAAACAGAAAAGCATGTTTGTTAACTTCATATTGCTAATCAAATACTGAAGTAGATTGCTATGAACACCCATTAGAAAGTCACCTCCCTTCTCCACATCCTGCTGCTTTTCTTATTCTTACATTTGAACACAATGTTTGGTTCTTATAAATCTCTCCAGTTGTTATTTAAAAAGCCTTTTAGAATGAATAGGCCAGGAACATAATCTTTGCAAAGCTAGTCTGAAACAAAAGCCTGTGGAAAACCTGCAGAAAGCCTAAGGGGCTCTAATTTGGACTTAAAATTCTTGACAATTTCTGTTTCCTTCTTCCACCAAATTGCTCGGCTCCTGCTAATGGTTCACAATTATTGGTACTTAGAATCATACATTTGCAGGGACTTCTCCCTGTGATGACTACATTAAAGCACCCTGTTCCTCAAAGAATATGATTGTGAAGATTGGTTTTTCACTTATTTTAGCTGTTTTTTATCCAAAGTTACTTATATTCTGAAGAAAAATGCACTTTACTGGTCACTGACATGTAATTATTCATAATAAAAATTGATTCTGAGCATTTTAAGTATTTAACACCTATTCAAAGCATTTTACACATTTTAAAAAATTTTAATTAGAAATAAGAGAAAAACCTCCGAAAGAAGGTGAAAAAAAAGAGCTCATAATTCTACCATACTACTTTAAATTATATAAGTAATGACTTTAGAGCTTTGTTGTTCAGTTTTTCAGACTATCTTCCCATTACAAAAATTTCATCAGGTATCTTCACAGTGTTCTTTGAGTTGATGATGCATAGCTCAAAATTCTTATAGTTAACCACTGAAAAATGTATTAAGCATGAAAGTTAAAATTGAAAGAATAAATGGTAAATTAACTTCAAGAAAGACCAAAGGCAAAAGACTACCAGAAACATCCCTGTAGTTGAACAAGCTGGGCTGCTACTAGTTGCAATGGCCTAGAATGTGCATCCTGGGGAGCAAAGATGCATCCTGGTAAGGAGCTATTGTAAAGGGTTAACTATTTGTAGGAGCTCTGGTTAAATGGCTTTTTGGAGAATTCAAGGAAGCAGGGATAATTCTGTAATTTAATATCACAATCAATCTTTTTGGGAAGAAAGACATATTTCAGGTGGTCTCTTGCTCAGGAGCTTGCCTGGCACTGCCAGCCCTGTCCTGGTGTTGCAAGCAGCTGGCGTGGCACCTGAGCTGGCTCCTGGTATTCTTCTATTAAACATAAGCATTTTTCAAAATACTAGAATCAAAGAAGGCAACTCTATGACCTTGATGTTTCAAGAAAAAACAAGGCCAGTCTATAATGATATCTGAACTTAGGAAAAACATGATCCAAGTGATAAAAATGATCAAATATCCTCCTATGTTGGCTAATATAATAACTGCTGATTCTTTAATAAATACAGCATTAGCCTTAAGCTTATCCATCCTCCTTCCTGATAAGATTGATGAGCCACCTAACCAGAGCCCTGATCCCTAACGAGTCCTTTCAATGACTCAGTACAGGATACACCCTTGCTCCCTGTGATGTCTATTCTTTGCCATTGTTGCTAGCAGCAGCTTCAATTGTTCACCTACCCAGATGTGTCTGTTAGGGTATGGATGGCAAGCACTGACATTTTGGAGAATCATTTTAAGTCAAATATAAACCAATTTGTCCAAATTTTGTATGCTATTTATATATAACTTCCAGGTGATGAGGATTCAACAGAAAATATGACAACCATCTAGTGCTTTCGGACTACTAGATGGTTTGTATAAAATTCATATATTGAATCCTAAGCCCTAGGTATGAAGAGACAGAGGTTTGGGGAAATGATAGGTCACAAGGACCTACTCTCTGGATTGTGCCCTTTTAGAAGAGGCCCAAGGGAGCTTGCCACCCGACTCCACCACGTGAGGATCAAAAGATGCCATTTACAAGAAGGAAAGTCCTCCCCACGTAGAGTCTGCTGGCACTTTGAACATGGACTTCTCAACCCCCAACAACGATTTTTGTTGTTTATAAATTACTCAGTCTAATGAATTTTGCTATAGAAGCCTGAAGAAACTAGACATGGATGTAGCTTTATATTAGGATCTGACATTCCCATTATAAATAAATTAAATATTTCCTCAAGGTACAGATGAGAAGCTCTTTAACATAACAAGTTGTTTCTCCAGGATGGTCATCATATGTAATTGTCTTTGTAAGCTTTCGTCCTAGGATTTGAAAGGAAAAATTATGAGAAAAGAAAAAAAATGCAAACAAAGTCTATGTAAATAGGGAAGGGTGGAGGGGTGAAGGGTGCACAGGGAATGGGGAAAAAATAAGAACCAGGATACATCATGTGCAGGTACAAGCACCCAATGATAAATGTAAATGTATTGTATACCTAAGATGTACCAATACAAGAATTGAAGCAGAAAAAAAGAAGTTATTTTACAGAATACACCTAGCTGTAAAGAAAAACTATAAGCTACATGTTCTTCAGAAAAATTATCTGCATGTATTCTCTATATAGGATTGTGCTTATTTTGCTTAAATATATTATGTTAGGTACAAGAAGTTTTTCTTGTCAATTTTGCAACATTTTCATCATGAAAACGAAAATATTGGTAATTCAGTCATCTTAATTATCCAAATCCTGTAATCACTTAGATATGAATTTTTTAAATAAATTTTAAATTTTTATCCCATGAACTTTTAAAGATATTTACACTTTTGATTTTCTGACTTTCATTGTAAATCCCTTCAAATTGTGTAAGAGACTTCTTATGAGAGTGAATTAGGCCTCTTGCTATCAGACTACATAGGAGTTAGCTATCTCTTTTTTTTCTGAGAGTTTCAGGTTAGACAGGCAGTCTCCCTTTCCTACAGTTACTTAGCATAGCTACATATCTTCACATAATTTTAGATAAGGATAAATATTTGTTACTTTCTTTACAAACTATACATTTGGTTGATTTTGAATCATAGATGGAATGCAGTGGCACTGAATTTGCTAAGTGGGACCAACAAATCGGACACATTTTGAACACTCTTTGGCATGGAATCCATTAATTATTTCAGTTTCTCAAATTGTATACTGTGATTAGACTGGATGTTAAGAAAAGTCTCTGAGTTAAGAAGGCAGGGTCTGTCACATAGAAAATACTTTGCAGGTGTGCCATACTGGATCTTTTATAAAATAGCCCTGGCCTAACTCAAAACAAAGAAGGATTTTTAAACCATTTTAATTTAAAACTTCTATTTAAAATTTGGGGTACTTCTAGATAATTTGGAATTATTTTTTCATTTATCTCTGATAAAAATAGTGAACAAATTAATTACTAACATGAAAGAGCTATAATCTCTCATAATTATACGTATTTTAAAAGTCCATGTGGGTGGACTGTTATTAAGCATTGGAACAATTTGTTCCTGAGTGGGTGGCAGTGCTGTGCCCAACTTGTAGGAAACAAGACTGGATTCAATTTAATGTAAGAAGTATTTTCCCCACCAGAATGTGCTGAAACATTCAGGAGAATTAACTGCATCAACAGACTTGCTTTCATGATAAGATCCAAACTCATTAGTACACCCAAGAATACAGTTTTTGTGATCGCACATTTCTCTGCCTCTTCAATCTCAATTCTTACCACATCTGTTTACATATGGTGCTGTAAAAATATTAACTAGTCACTATTCCCTGAATTTCTTTTCCCAGGTTTTATGGTTTTTCAGCATCTTTCTTTTTAGCCAAGAAAACTCCTTTCCCTTTCTTTCGGTATCTCAAGAGAATAGCCGCTTATGTTTCCAGATTCAGTTTTAGTATTATCTCTCTTAGGAGACCTTCCTGAGTGACCCAATTAAGTACCCTACACTAAATTAATTCTTCAGCCCAATGCCAGGTTTTTGCAATAAAATGTTTCTCTAATTCTTTATAGTCTCTTGCAACAAGTACAAACATCATTCAAATTACCTAGTAGCTTTCCACATATAACTACGTAGCCACATTTGTAAAGTAAAAAAATATATATATTTTGTTTTCTCCTGATTTTCATAGATCATTGGAATTCTGTAAAGAAGATGGTCTGCATGTCAATTCTCTAAGTATATAAAGTACTCCCTTTTTTTGTGTAAGTTACTACTCTGTAGAACATAATTACATTCTCTGAAATTTATTTTGCCATAATAGTAACCCACTACTTTATAAATCTTTATTTTTTACACCACAATAAATGTTCAGTATAAATATTTAAAAATGGGAAAACAAGTGGAAAGAATGAAACAAATCAATTAGAATGGCATCATCTAAATTTAACCAGTGTGAATATGATTTGAGACATCTTTCTATACAAAGGACATAAGACATAGACATGGGTGGCAGATTATACTATAGATATTATTTAAAATTCATTTATGGACCAATTTAATTTCATAGAAACTTAGAAGAAACAAAAATTGAAGTGAAATTAGGTAACTCTTCACATATGTTTGAGGTTTTAATTTACACTGTTACGTGAGGTCAGAAAAGCCAGGCTGAGAAATTTATTTTAAACATGAGTTCTGGGTTGTTGTAGGAATAAAATCAAGCCCATTCTGGAGATAAACACTTTTATCTCAGGTTTCACATGAATCTACTGATATAAGCTTTGTCAGCATGAATAAAAACAGTCCAAAATTATAAAACACATGGGAAAATGCTCCCCTCTTTAAAGTCAACAGAAACAATAAGCATACAATAAAAGCTCAGATTTCAGATGAATGACTTATGAGATTTTATGAAGGAAATACACGTAAAATGTTAGAGGAAATTAAATTATAATCAACCTATTATTCAAAAATATTAAGGTATTAATCAAAATAGGTTGATTTGATAAAGAACACAAATTTCCATTAAAAATGAAAACTAATCAATGAAATAAGTAAAACAGTTAATTATTTGATATTAAACTTTATTTTTTATTAGTACATTATTTGTTGTAGATATTAATCACATTAATCATGGGGAATTTGTACCT